AGGTCCTGCCGCCGGGTGCAGGGACCCCGCGCGTCTGGAGGAAACTGAGGCCCTGCCGCCGGGTGCAGGGACCCCGCGGGCTTGGGGGAAACTGAGGCCCTGCCGCGTGGTGCAGGGTCCGCGTGCGCTTGGAGGAAACTGAGGCCCTGCCGTGGGGTGCAGGGTCCGCGTGCGCTTGGGGTAAACTGAGGCCCTGCCGCCGGGTGCAGGGACCCCGCGCGCTTAGAGGAAATTGAGGCCCTGCCGCCAGGTGCAGGGACCCCGCGCGCTTGGAGGAAACTGAGGCCCTGCCGCGTGGTGCAGGGTCCGTGTGCGCTTGGGGGAAACTGAGGCCCGGCCGGCAGGTGCAGCGACCCCGCGCGCTTGGAGGAAACTGAGGCCCTGCCGCCAGGTGCAGGGAACCCCGCGCGCTTGGAGGAAACTGAGGCCCTGCCGCCATGTGCAGGGAACCCCGTGCGCTTGGAGGAAACTGAGGCCCGGCCGCCAGGTGCAGGGAACCCCGCGCGCTTGGGGGAACTGAGGCCCGGCCGCCGGGTGCAGGGACCCCGCGCGCTTGGAGGAAACTGAGGCACTGCCTCGGGGTGCAGGGACCCCACGCGCTTGGAGCAAACTGAGGCCCTGCCGTCAGGTGCAGGGACCCCGCACGCCTGGAGGAAACTGAGGCCCTGCCGCCGGGTGCAGGGACCCCGCGCGTCTGGAGGAAACTGAGGCCCTGCCGCCGGGTGCAGGGACCCCGCGGGCTTGGGGGAAACTGAGGCCCTGCCGCGTGTTGCAGGGTCCGTGTGCACTTGGGGGAAACTGAGGCCCTGCCGCCAGGTGCAGGGACCCCGCGCGCTTGGGGGAAACTGAGGCCCTGCCGCCAGGTGCAGGGACCCCGCGCGCTTGGAGGAAACTGAGGCCCTGCCGCCATGTGCAGGGAACCCCGCGCGCTTGGAGGAAACTGAGGCCCTGCCGCCATGTGCAGGGAACCCCGCGCGCTTGGAGGAAACTGAGGCCCTGCCGCCATGTGCAGGGAACCCTGCGCGCTTGGGGGAAACTGAGGCCCTGCCGCCAGGTGCAGGGACCCCGCGCGCTTGGAGGAAACTGAGGCCCTGCCGCCAGGTGCAGGGACCCCGCGCGCTTGGAGGAAACTGAGGCCCTGCCGCCATGTGCAGGGAACGCCGCGCGCTTGGAGGAAACTGAGGCCCTGCCGCCATGTGCAGGGAACCCCGCGCGCTTGGAGGAAACTGAGGCCCTGCCGCCATGTGCAGGGAACCCTGCGCGCTTGGAGGAAACTGAGGCCCTGCCGCCAGGTGCAGGGAACCCTGCGCGCTTGGGGGAAACTGAGGCCCGGCCGCCGGGTGCAGGGAACCCCGCGCGCTTGGGGGAACTGAGGCCCGGGTGCAGGGAACCCCGCGCGCTTGGGGGAACTGAGGCCCGGCCGCTGGGTGCAGGGACCCCGCGCGCTTGGAGGAAACTGAGGCCCTGCCTCGGGGTGCAGGGACCCCACGCGCTTGGAGCAAACTGAGGCCCTGCCGTCAGGTGCAGGGACCCCGTGCGCTTGGAGGAAACTGAGGCCCGGGCGCCGGGTGCAGGGACCCCGCGCGCGCTTGGGTGAAACTGAGGCCCTGCCGCCGGGTGCAGGGACCCCGCGCGCTTGGGGGAAACTGAGGCCCTGCCGCCGGGTGCAGGGTCCGCGTGCGCTTGGGGGAAACTGAGGCCCTGCCGCCGGGTGCAGGGTCCGCATGCGCTTGGAGGAAACTGAAGTCCTGCCGCGGGGTGCAGGGTCCGCGTGCGCTTGGGGGAAACTGAGGCCCTGCCGCCGGGTGCAGGGTCCACGTGCGCTTGGGGGAAACTGAGGTCCTGCCGCCGGGTGCAGGGTCCACGTGCGCTTGGGGGAAACTGAGGCCCTACCGCCAGGTGCAGGGACCCCGCGCGCTTGGAGGAAACTGAGGCCCTGCTTCGGGGTGCAGGGACCCCACGCGCTTGGGGGAAACTGAGGCCCTTCCGCGGGGTGCAGGATCCGCATGCGCTTGGGGGAAACTGAGGCCCTGCCGCCGGGTGCAGGGTCCACGTGCGCTTGGGGGAAACAGAGGCCCTGCCGCGTGGTGCAGGGTCCGCGTGCGCTTGGTGGGAACTCAGGCCCCGGTGCTGGGGCCGCTCTCTAGGCGGTGGGACGCCGCCTGCCGCGTGGCTGTCGTCCTGGAAACCGGCCCCTCGGCCGCCCTCTCAGTCCGCGCCGCTTCCCGTCTCCGGAGACGACTCGAGGGCAGTCCGGCCTCCTGCGCGGAAGAGGGGACCCGGTCTGGGTGACTGAGGAGCTCATGGGGTGTGGGCCTGAGGTGGGATATATCGGCTTGAGGCTTTATGTATTTAATTTGACATGAGCTGAGTCGTTTTAGGTCAAGGGATTTGAATGAGAATTCCAGATCTCCGCTTCCAAGGCTTGTGAATTTCACAATTAATTGGCTTTTCTTGCAAACATACACTCAGAGCGGAGAGAGCTGTTGGTCGTGGGTCCCTTTTCATTTCCTGGGATGGCAAGAAGGAGGTGACTCGGGAAGAGAAATGACTGGGTCTGTCAGCCCATGATGCTATTTCCAGGAATACTAGAAACGTTGGGGCTTCTTTTTATTTTCTCCCCTCTCCCATGGGTTTGCTTTTTTTTTTTTCTAGCTCGGACACGTAATTCATGACAAAATATTTTTTTCTTTGTTGATTTTAGAGAGTGAAAGGGACATGGAGACAGAGGCAGAAACCTCGATGATTGCGAACTTCGATGGGCTGACTCCTGCATTCCCCTCAACGTGGATGGGGCCCACAACCCCGGCATGTATGGCGACCGAGAATCGATCCAGAGACCTCCTGGTGCATGGGTTGATGGTCAAACACTGAGCCACACTGGCCGGTCCATGAAGATCTGGAAAAAAATTTTTTTCATTGAATTTATTTATTTATTTTTATAGAGAGGAAGAAGAGAGAGAGAGAAACATCGATGAGAAACATTACATGGCTGCCTTCTGCACATCCTCTGCTGGGCAACGAACCCACTACTCACACATGTGCCCAGACTAGGAATTGAACATGGACCTCTCAGGCCATGGAATAGTGCTCAGTACACAGGGACACACCAGCCTGGCTTCGTTTTAAATATATTGTGTCTGTCCAGCTGGTGTGGATCAGTGATCGAGCGTCGCCCCCTGCACCGAGAGGTTGCGGGTTCCATTCCAGGTGAGGACATATGCCCAGGTTGTAGGCCCAATCCCCATTGGGGGCATGCAGGAGGCCCCCAATCGATGTTCTCGCTCATCAATGTTTTTCTCTCTCCCTTTCTCATCCTCTTCCTCTAAAATCAATAAAGGGAAAAAAATTATAAATATATTGTGTCTCTTTCAGGTTTTGACCCCTTTGTTCTTTCTATATATGTTGAAACATCTGTTGGTACTTAGTCAATAACATTAGGCTATTTCTGGTGCACTTGGTAAGGATGTCAATGATCTTAACAGTCAGAATCTAGTTCTGTGAGTCGGTCTAATACTCAGCAGCATTTTCCTTTCCTTCATGTGATTTGTTGAAGTAGTGGCTGAGCCACAGAGGAGCTGTTCTCAAGTCCCTCTTGTCCATTCTCTGAAAATTCTAGATGGTGGAGTGGATTCACCTGAAACTTCATTCCCATAGAGCCCATCTATTCATGGTGAAGTTATTTCAGCAGCATGTTTAAATAGCTAACATTCTAAAAAGGTTTCACTGTGAAGACCTATATTGTTTGTAATTTCTGGAAGTTCCTGCTTCAGCCCCTCACACTACCCAGAGGTCTGGGGTCTGCTGGGTGTGATGTCTGTGCCCAGTGCTACCGAACACAGCTCTGGGGCAGGTGCACAGGCGTGAGGAGGGAACTAGATAAAGATGCTGTATCGGGTCCCTGCATCGCCAAGGCATCCGCAGGCCTTTAAAGCTGAACTGCTTTTGTTCGGGTTACTGTCAGATCCCTGGAGGAGTTTTATGAAATGACCTCCACTGTGCTCTCTCTCCTAGAGTTGGAGGGCTGCTCTGGGTCAGGCATCTTTGTTTACTGAGGTGCCACAAGTGAGTCTAAGGAAGCCCAGGGATCAGCAGGAGGGGCCCCGGGAGCATTTGTGAGTGGGGCGCAGGCTTTAGTCAGGGATGTGACAGGGTGGTCTGTTGGGGTCAGAGATCCCAGACGCCATCCCACGTTCCCCTGGCTGTAGGGACGTTCCCCTGGCTGTAGGGACGTGTGCAGGTCTGTGGGAGGGGAGTGCACATGAAGACAATAAAACAATCCTCACAGTGTGGTCTCCCTGCAGGAGCTCATTGTTCCTGACTCTCCTGTGATAAAGGACAGTTCCAGGTCCTTCTGACTGTGAGTGTGCTGGGAGCTGATTAAGAGGCTGTGCGGACACATTCGAAGGCACATTCTGTGACTCCAACATAACGTCACCTGAGAAAACAACCCTGAGCAGGACCAGGACCAGGACAAAATGGCTGCTTCTCCGGTAAAAGACGTGTCGTGGGTCAGAGGCTGTGTCTGCTTTTCCTTTCACGTGGGTGGAATTCAAAGCTGCAACCTTTATTTCTCTACTTCTGATGTTCTTCCTAGTGAGGTTGTTTTCCTATACTAACTTTTATTTTCTTATTTACAAAAAAATGTTTTCATTGATGTTTTAGAGAGACAGCAAGGGAGAGAGAGATAGAAGCTTGGATGTGGGAAAGGAACATTATTGGCCCCCTGAGTAAGCCCCCTACTGGGGATCAAGTCCACAACCCTGGCATGTGCCCTGGCCAGGAATCGAACTGGTGACCGTTTGGTACATGAGTTGATGCTAGCCAGTCTGCCACCCCGGCCAAGCTACCCTGTGTTTTTTTATGTACTATTTAGAAGAATGGCACGTGGCCTGGAAACATTGGCGTCATTAGTAAAAACCACTTCTCCTAACAGTTTCGATGTTGGGTGACCTTAGGAACGTCTGGTCGCCCCTTGGTCAATGTGTCTTTCCTTTCAGGGCCCGCTGACCTTCAGGGATGTGGCCGTAGACTTCTCTCAGGAGGAGTGGGAATGCCTGGACCCCGCTCAGCGGACATTGTACCAGGATGTGATGTTGGAGAACTACAGGAACCTGGCCTCCCTGGGTGAGGATGACTTCCTTCTAGAATTCCCATTCCAGCCGCCAGAGTTTCTTTCTTTAATATGTTTTGGGGGCTTCTTCTTTGTGTAGTAGACTTCAGAGTCTTGCTGTCAGGGAACAAAAATGGGGATGCTGTTGTACTAAGAAAGAGTATGTGATACATGTGAATTACAAACTCAGTGTTTGAAGTTTTTGTGTTGTCTAGAATAAATGAGGTCCTATCAGGAAACAGTATTTTAGGAAATCATTTTGGGGAGTATTCTACTGTTCAACCAAGTTTTCTTCCTGAGCATGATCTGGATTGGATATGGGAGCATGTCTATCAATACTCATGTTCCATTTTCTTCCTATTTTTTTTTTTTATCCTCCCTCGAGGACATTTTTCCATTTTTTATTCAGATAGAGCGAGAGGGAGAAAGAGAGTATAATCGACGTGAAAGGGACACATCAAGTGGCTGTCACCCGCACGACCCATCCAGGGCCGGGGACAAACTGCAACCGTGGTACATGCCCTTAGCGGGAACCGAACCTGGGCCTCTCCGGACCGCAGGCCGACGCTCTAACCGCAGAGCCAATCCGGCCAGGGCTTATGTTCCATCTTCTTTCTCACTGTTTCTTACTTATTTATTTTCTACTTTTTTTTTTATCCTCACCTGAGGATATTTTTCCATTTTTTGTACAGATAGAGTGGGAGGGAGAGAGAGGAAGGGAGAGAGAGTGAGAAACATCGACGTGAAGGGACACATCGAGTGGCTGCCACGCGCACGACCAACCAGGGCCGGGGACAAACTGCAACCGAAGTACGTGCCCTTAGCGGGAACCGAACCCGGGTCTCTCCGGACCGCAGGCTGACGCTCTAACCGCTGAGCCAAACCGGCCTGGGCTATTTTCTACTTTTTTTTAATATTAGGAAAAACGAACATCCATTGGCTGCCCCTGCATGCCCCCTACTGGGGATCGTGCCCACAATCTGGGTTTGTGTCCTCTACCAGAATTGAACCCGGGACACTTTGGTTTCCGGGCTGGTGCTCTAACCGCTTAGCCAAACTGGGTAGAGCCTCACTTTATATCTTCTTTGTTTTGTATTTTATGACATAGCTTTAAGATTTTATTGCTTGCAATTTTACAGATCTACAGGAGAAATCAAAGTGATTTTTGTTTCATTATTAGCTTTTTGGGAATTTTTCTATTGGTGTATATATTTACACGTGCAAGAAATCTTGACATTTCCATATGCTTCAGTGTTTAGAATTTTTGAAGTGCATCTAGAAGTATTTTCTTACTCATTTTTCATAGGGCAGGTTTAATGCTGAGAATATCTTAAGTGTTTTTGAGTTGGAAGAGTCTTTCTCTTTTGTTGATGTTTTGTAACGGAAAGTATTCTTGATTGATAGATTTTGGTTTTTTATCAGTTCAGTGTTTTCTTTTATGCTTTTTTAAAATTTGATTTCTGCTGAGAAGCCCAGTGATCATCATAGAGGAGCTGTCTTTTCCTTGTTAAGTATTTTTTTTGTTCTTATTCTTTTTACCTTTTTTATTTTTTTTTTTGATATTTTGTTCAGATAGAGTGGGAAGGAGAGAGAGAGAAACATCGACGTGAAAGGGACACATGGAGTGGTTGCCACCCGCACAACCCAACCAGGGCCGGGGACAAACTGCAACTGAGGTACGTGCCCTTAGCGGAAACCAAACCCGGGTCTATCGGGACCGCAGGCCGATGCTCTATCCACTGAGCCAAACCAGCCAGGGCCTTTTTACCTTTTTAAGGTATTTGAACAAGGGGATTCATTATGTTTTGATTCTGATATGTCCTTCTGTTGATATTTTTACATTCATTCTACTTAGAATTCAGTGAACTGCTTGAATTTGTATATCACTTTCTCTAAATGTTGGGATTTTAACTAAGTTTTTTAACTTTTAATGTTTTGATCAAATCAATCTGAGTGACATTATTTAATAGAGGTGAGTATGTAAGTTTCAGGTGTGGATTTCTAGTATATATTGTACTGTTTGCCCATCACCCAAAGTCAGATCATCTTCTGTCACCATATTAGGCCCCTTCACCCCCCGACCTCATCATCCTGTGGCAACCACCACACAGCTCTTGTGTCCATGAGTTTCAGTTTTATATTCCACATATGAGTGAAAGTATGTAGTTCTTAGTTTTTTCTGCCTGACTAATTTCACATAGCACAATATTCCCAAGGTCCATCATGTTGTTGCAAATGTCAGTATTTTCTTATGGCTCAGTAGGTCATATTCCATTGTGTGTATGTGCCACATCTTTTTGTTTTTGTTAATCTTCACCTGAGGAAAATGTTTTCATTGATTATTAGAGAGAATGGAAAGAGGGAGGGAGGGAGGGAGGGAGACACATCAACTCGTTGCCTCCCATAGGACCCCAACCAGGGTCAGGGATTGAACCTGCAACCCAAGTATGTGCCCTTGGTCAGAATTGAACAGGTGACCCTTCAGTCCTCTGGGCCACACTGCAAGGGCTGAGCCAACCTGCCACCTTCTCTTTATCCAGGCCTACATCAAAGGACACCTTGGCTGTCCCCATGTCTTGGTTACTGTGTGTAATGCTGCAATGAACATAGGGGTGCTTATATGTCTACAAATATGTTTTCAAGTTTTTCTGGTATATTCCCAGGAGTGGGATTACTGGGTCATATGATAGCTGTATTCTTAATTTTTTGAGGAATCACCGGGCTGTTTTCGAGAGTAGCTGTTGCTATCTACGTGCCCACCAGCAGTGTATGAGGGTTCCCTTTTCTACACAACACCTCCAAGATCTGTTAATACCTGTTGTTGATTATAGCCATTCCGACAGGGATGAGGTGGTATCTCATGCAGTTTTTATTTGCATGTCCCTAATTGCTTGTCAGACTGGACATCTTTGGTCTCCTTGGGAGAGGCATCTGTCTGTTTGATCCTCTGCCCATTTTTTTAGTGGGCTTGTTTAGAGCTGAGTTTTATGAATTCTTGATATATTTTCGATTTTAAGCTTTGTTGGAGCTGTTTGCAAGTATCATCTCCCATTTGGTCAGGTGCCTTTTTGCTTTGTGGTCAGATTCTTTGGCGTTGCAACGAAAGCGGTAATGGGAGGGAAGCGTATATCATGACAGCCCCGTCTCAAGAAATAAGGGAAGTCGTAAGTAAACAACCTAACATTACATCTTAAAGTACTAGGAAAAGAAGCACAAAAGCAGCCCAAAGTCTGCAGAAGAAAGACAATAGTGAGTTGGATATATGAGTATATTTCTTTCTTTCTCTCTCTCTCTCTTTTTTTTTTTTTCACCCGAGGACATTTTTTTCCATTTTTTGTTCAGATACAGTGGGAGGGAGGGAGGGAGGGAGAGAGAGAGAGAGAGAGAGAGAGAGAGAGAGAAACATCAACGTGAAAGAGACACATCGAGTGGCTGCCACCCTCACGACCAACCAGGGCCGGGGACACACTGCAACCGAAGTACGTGCCCTTAGCGGGAACTGAACCTGGGTCTCTCTGCACCGCAGGCCAACGCTGTAACCGCTGAGCCAAACTGGCCAGGGCTCGTTCTGTTTTCTTTTTTTACATAAAGTGGTAGCGGTGAAGGAGGGGACAGAAAAACTTCGATGTGAGAGGACACATGGATTGGTTGCCTCTGGCACAGCTGCGACCTGAACCGGGAAACAGACCTGCAACCCAGGTGTGTGCCCTTGACTGGAATCCAACCTGTGACCCTCTGATGGTGGAATGATGATCTCACCATGGAGTCAAAGCGTCCAGAGATATTTCTTTGTTTCTTTTTTTTAATGCTCACCTGAGGAAATTTTTTAATTTATCTTCAGATAGAGTAGGGGGAGGGAGAGGGAGAGAGAGTGAAAAGAAATATCGTCGTGAGAGAGACATATCAACTGGTTGCCTCCCGCTCAACCTCAAGCAGGGCCGGGAATGAATCACAACCAAGGTACACGCCCTTGACTGGAATCGAACCCAAGACTCTATGAGCCTAACTGGCCAGGGCTGGGATATTTCTTTTGAGCGCAGCTGATCTCCATCTTTGTTTGGCAGTTCAGACCTTGTGTCTCCACTTTTAAGTTTTTGCTGGCACAAATTATCCCTGTCTATGCTGTAAATTTCTGGGTTGTTACCAGTAGAGTTAGGACCTTATGCTCTTTGTTTTAAGTAGAACTCCCTTGAGTATTTCCTGCAATGAAGGTTTTCTGGTGATAAATGTCCTCAGCTTCTGTATATCTAGGAAAGTATTTCTCCTTCATATTTAAAAGATAACTTGGCTGGGTACATTATTCTTGGCGGATAATATCACTTTTTCAGTCACTTAAATATTTTGTGCTGGTATATTCTGGCTTGTAGAGTTTTTGTTGAGAAGTCAGATGATATTCTGATGGGTTTTCTGTTGTAGGTCACTTCCTTTTCCCTTGTCACTTTGAGTATTCATTCTTTGTCATTAATTTTTGACAGTGTTGATACAATATGCCTTTCTGAGGGCCTCTGTGTATTGAGGTAACGAGGTTTTATGTTTGCTTTTTTGGTTTTGACCATCTAGTTGTGATCACAGGTTTGGGAATTTGTCATCCACTACTTGTTTGAATACGCTCTCCATTCATTTCTACCTCCCTTCTTCCTCTTAGTATGCCTGTAATTCTTGTTGGTTTTTCTGATGGAATCAGATCGTTCCTGTAAAGCTTGTTCATTTGTCAAAATGTTTTCATTGATTTTTTGAGAAAGAGAGAACCGTCGATCAGCTGACTTCTGCACAGCTCCTACTGGGAAATGAACCACAACCCAGGCATGTGCCTAGACTGGGGATTGAACTGGAAACTGTCAGTCCATGGGACGATGCTCAATCCACTGAACCACACCTGCCTGGCCTTTATCGTTTTTTTTTTTTTTTTCCAAATCTTTATTTTTGGATGTAAAATGTATTACAGATGTTCCACATTTTTCCCCCATTGACCCTCTCCTCCCCACTCCCGCCCCCTCCCACCTTTTCCCACACT